CTCGTTTTCTATTGAGGCGTCTGGCTTTTAGAACCATCCCACAGTAATCAGGAATAACTAAAGAGTCGACCAGCTCGTCCATGCATATTTCCGTTGGAATGCCTCTAATGACACCCATGCGTGTAACATTAAAAGTAGGAATTACTACAGTATAATTGTAACGAGCTAATAAAGGATTAATTAAAAAGTTATTAGCATCCTTACCAGTTTTAAATTCAACAGCAATACGGTTGCGGCCAATTTTTTTGACACCATCCTTAACTATATTGGTGATTTTGTTTTGCTTTAGGAATTGCCCGAAAATAATTGGTCGAATAGTAGTTCCAGTTGAAGGATTTGACTCAATCTTTGAAACATGTATAATAAATGGGCCCTTATCAAGATCAGAATAAGACTTATGACCCTCTTTTAATGACGGGTGTGTATATACTGATTGACTTGTTGATGTTGAAACTATGTTAATTTCATTTTGTTGCAACTTCAAAGAATCAGTAATAACTTTTTTAATGGGCTCACATTGATTTTCGAATTCAATACGTCGTTTTGTGCCGGATTGGCTAAATATTGGTGGTGATAGCTCCATCGGAGATTGAGTCAACTCCAACTCTCCATCAGGAGGATCCGGAGGATCCGGAGGAACCCGGTCCATTGCTTATACAGAAAACAAAATTAAATATTAATTAAGCACTTAAATAAATATACAAACGTAAACAGGTAATAATCCACAGCAACAAAATAGCGAGATAGCACAACAAAGAGCAAGCAAAATGACTAAAATAATCAGAACACAAAAAAGACGTGTATCAACCAACACACCGTTTTTCATCCGAATAATCAGTCAGTTGATTAGCCTTTGCTGACATTATAGAATGTCAGTTTTGTCTATAATTTGCGCCACTTCAATGTTCTTCGCCACGTGCAATGGCAAATGACTAAAGTATTATTGACCTTATTGGATTAGGATATTGAAGAGGGATTATCGTGCTCATAGATACACTACGATAGATGATAGATTCTATATATTTTACAATTTGTACTTTTGTTTTAATTTGCCTGTGATAATATTACGAATTAGATAATCGTTCTATTTCTAAAAGCCTTACATTCTCCATCCGTATTTTCATGCATACATCCTTTTTGGTTCCAATGCCGAATAATGGCATCTTAATGCTGTTTCAATTTGTATCTAGTCTGTGGTTTATCTGGTGGCCTAGAGCCCAATATTATTCATGAAATGGGCTAAATCAATGCCGACCGATGTTTGTTAGTTTGTAATCTGTAAACAAGATTGTGTCAAGAAGATGTTTTTGAAATGCCACCGACGCACAATGGGCTCTCGTCACCAGAGTTACCCAATTGCATGGCGACACAGGCGAAATTTTATGAGGATACATTGCGGGCAGAGTCGCTCACAGAAACTTGTCGTACCTATACAGGTACATGTGTATTGATTACATTTTTTATTAACGTCGACTAAACCAAGGTAGCGGTGCCTGAATTTGGTAAAGTTCAACTAACTCTTATCTTATTTCATCGATAAGCTGCTTATCTTATCGCAGTAACTAAAATTATTATTTCTCCTCAATTGCAGTACCGAACATAAGTACGTATTGTATGTGAACAATAAAACTATACTCACGCACTATAATTTAAAAATGAAATTGATAAAAATAAAAACAAGTTTTATTATGAATTATTTGGTTTAAAATTTTCAGAGCAGTCTGACAACCGTTCTGTGGAAATATAATCTAATGAGCTCTCTCCACTATCGGCAATGATGGGCAATCATTGATTGTAACCATTATTGCGCCGTTGTCTACACGATAGGCCATCCCACATTTGCTAATTGCAATCTGAACTATATGGACACCGAAACAAGAATCCAAAATGGTTAATTATAGGTCTTCTTCGGCTACGACATTTTAGCATCTATTACAGGCAAAACAGCACGCGTCCGTACCACATCATAAATAAATGCGAACTGAGTGAACGGCGATTGTGTGAGGTGACGCGCGCACGATCATGGCCAAACTTCCTTTGATGAGTGTCCCGAAATCCGATACAGTGGCGATCATGCACGATCATCGCTGATCATGGACCATTATAGGCGATCATGCCAATGGTGATGGCCTGTATTTGCCAATCATAGGCCACAGTGTGGAGGCGGTGTAAAAAAGTCTCTGAATGTTTGACACATGCATTGTCATAGGTAAAATACGCTTCTTCAACACTAATTGTTGATCGGAATATTAATTATGTTATGGTTGTCAATATTAACTATATAATCAGGCTACAAATTAATACGAAAATATCTCTGACCCAATACTCACAGTTTGGTTGATTTTGACCCGCGGACAAAACAGTTTGCCAACCCCAGCATGCAAGCATGAAGAACCCGAGCACGTTTTGTCTACACCCAAATGTCACTTCTCGGGAGCGTCCAAATGATATCTCACTCTTGACCCGAGAAAAGTGGCATTTGGTTTAGACAAAGCGTTTCTTGAGTTTGTCACGCTATGCATGGTGGTATACAATGTGTGCCTGTAAATTGAAAATAGTTTCACGATACATCGAAAACATTTTTTTTTTTTCATGATTCTATAAAAATCCAGACCCAAATTCGAATTCACTCATGGGCCCGAATTCAAGTCATTTAGTATAGAAATTCTTCTACTGAGTCCATTTTTTCTATAAAAATACATAACAAAATTAATTGAATATACGTGTTTCAGATATTCTATTGCTATGTCATTTTGAAACTCAGTTCATTTCTCAGTTGAGCGGATGCCATTTTTTGAAGTATATTCAGACACCTGAGTTAATTCGAATTCGAGTTTAGATTTTTACAGTATCTCAGGGCAGGAGCAGCTTTACGTAAACGTCCAGTATAATGAAAATAAAGTACTTACCTAATATTATAGTCTTGCCTACGTAAGCTCATATTTAAGTTGCGTGATTCACATCTCCATTATCAAAATTAGTTGGTATATACGTAAACGACTGCTATTAGTATTGATTAATAGATAAAACATATGAGCATGTATGTACCTACATGAGTACACAAGGGCATATATGTTCACTCTGTGCAAAATATTTTTGTAATGTCTTTTATCTAATTTAACGTTATATTATAACAGACTGAATTTACTGGAACACGCAGGACCTGTAGCACGAATAATTAATTTTTACGATGCGAATACGATTACGAAACGATTATTAATATTTGCATAAATGCTGCCGCAAAGAGAACATTTTTTTTTAATACAAAAAAAAATGTCAAAAAAAAAAGAAAACTCTCAATTTTCTTGAACAATTTTGAAAGCTGTAAGAAACCATGATAGCGATAATATATGCGTGCTATTATGTCAAAACAAGCTCCGTTCGATATCGGTTCTTGTCCCATATTGTAATAAAGTTAAAATTATCTTGATAGTTTTATAGTACAATGGCATCATAAAGGTCCCGAGGTGAGAGAAATAATTATTCGCTATTGTTCTGTACCTTATTAACAGTATAATGAGTATTTAATGTAATTTTATTTTGTTATATCTTCATTTGTAACGCGTTAAGATTCGCAAGTAAATGTTACACTGTAAATTAGAATCGGTTATTTAAAATTTTAATTATTGGTAAAACTTGCTCCATTGCTTGAAGTATACAAATAATATGAAATAAAATAAAATACTAACGGTTAGGAAGCATTTTCTATAAAATTTATTAAAATGAGATAACCTAAATTAACATTGACACCTCGTCGAGCACATCTCTGCTGGTTGCGCAACTGGAAACCCTCGCGACATCTATGCATTGTACAATAAATATTCATATCGTCGTACGTTAGTTTTGTTTCTTTAATTTTTCAAACTTTAAGAAAAGTATGCTCACGTCTTATTCACATTACCAACTTATTTTGTACTTTAAATTTTTATTCTATTATTACTAATTTCTTCGATATATTTTAGGTATTTTCTAGTGACATGTCCTAATGGTTAAGTAGCTCGGTGGCGTAGTGGATAAGCGCCGCGGCCCGCGATCGTTGTCGTTAAGCAACTTTCGCAAGGGTCGGTCACGGGATGGGTGACCAAAAAAATTATTATCTCGAGCTACTTCGTGCTTCGGAAGTCACGTTAAACCGTTGGTCCCGGCTGCATTTGCAGTCGTTAATACCCTCCAATCCGCATTGGGCCAGCGTGGAGGGTCATGGCCCATCCTCCTTAACCATCCATAAGAAAGGCCTGAGCCCCTGCAGTGGGGACGTAAAAGGGCTGGTGTATGTGTGGTGTGTGTCCTAATGGATGTGTTAGATACAATCTTATGTCTTCCTTGTCTTCTTCAACCCTATTGTTAGAACTTAGAGTTTAAAATTGTAAGATAAATATTATATAGTCTTATACTGCCAATTTGCAGAGTTATCTTCTATAGTTTTTATTTATTTATTACTTTTATTACATATTTAAAAACAAATACTAATATATCAATTATATTTATTTTAATATAGTTATGGTTTTTATATTTAAACTTTATTAGTTGCACTTTACACACCAACAAACTATCAGCGTTGTTGCGACCTACATCGTAACAACATAAGCTAAGACAGGGACCGGATTCACTCATCTGTTATTTTCTTGTTACGTAATGTTTATTTTTTCATATGTTTTTGGGTTAATAAATTTGCTTTATTTCTTTCTTTTATTCTTTGAAATCGCCTTTAATCCTCCTCCGTCCATAAATTTTTTTACTTAGTTATGTTTATTATAGTTGATCAATGTTGCATTAACAATGCTATATCGGAAAATATTATTAATGAAAAATGACTCAAAAGTCCATTTTGTACTCTGAGATGGAATCCCATCACACAGTAACATAAAGTGTATTTTTTAATCATTTTCCATTAAGAATATTTTGTATTATTTATCACTGTAGCATATAAGCGTAATGCTCAAGCTAATGTTCAGAATTATTTGTAAAGTATATTATATCTATAGTTAATTTATCAACAGGACTACCTCAAGTTCCTCGTCACCTACCACCGGTTTATATCGTTCAGCTTGTACTGTGTGGGCTTCGTGTGGTTCGTGCTGTCACTGGTGAAGAGGTACTATATGAGACAGTTCAGTCTGTTCGCGTGGACCCATGTCGCTCTACTGATTGTCGTCACCCAGAGCTACCTGATCATTCAGAACATCTTCGAAGGTGAGTGCAGTTAACGGAATGCCTTTTATTGGTAGATAATTAAAATGGTCTTCAACAACACATAGGTAAAGATTTGTCAATTTATCCTACTTAAGGTACCTCGCAACTTCTGGATAACCTCAGAATCTATCGGGATCTTACATACGCGATGCGAATTCAAAGATGTTGGATTCAGATGTATATTTGCATATAAAAGCTTTGATTTTAATATTTTATGATGTTATTTTAGTGCTACAAGTTACTAAGCTTGTTTCTTACAGTAATAGTAAAAGGTTGGCAAAAGGTGCGAGTAAAAAGTAGTTATTAATAAATCTTATCCTCTTTGGTGACGCATAAAGTTATTACTCTGAACAAGAGAGAATTATAGTTAATATTTCTATCGATATTCAAAAAATCGTAAACCAAGTACCTTTACGTTATCACCTCAACGAACAATATATGTTAGAGGTTAGAAGCTTACCGCCCATGCATAGAATTCATGGCTAAAAGCAATATTTTAATCTTTGTTGGCAACCATTGTGAAATTGAAATGCACTTTGATATTACAGCATTAGAGTCTAGATAAGATTGTGTAGGAACTTGTGTATAAGGAACGTAGTGAGATGTTTTTTTTTTATTAGTTGTGACAATGTCATGAGAATTCAACAGAATGATTCTAGAAAATATTTTTTGATAATACAATAGATTTTGATTTCTATTTCAAACACAATAATTTGGATAAATCAATTTTAATTATAATAATATAATAATATTACTAAAACGCGAACTAGAATCCTAACAATTTCCATTTAAAATATGTATTGTAATTATAAGCTATAGTAGTGAATTTATTTAATACAAGTTGTTCTACCGCGACTTTGCACGCCTAATTATGACCAATGTCAACCCCATACGATGTAGCAACCTGATGGTGAAAGAATTTTTAAAATAGGGATGATGACTGGGTAAAAAAAATGCAATTCTATTTAGTCCGTCAGTCAGATAATAGAAAAATATTAGATACATTTTTTTTTTTTACTTCAATTTAACAAGAAATAGCTTAGATAACAGGCATTAAAGTTGAGGAGTGGGGGCTCGCTACGTCACAGTTGAGTAGAAAACGTACTCTAACGTGACGTCATGCGAAATTTCAACTCAATGTAACGCCGTAATTTTATGATTACGAAAAAAATAAAAAATACGTGTTTAATATTTTTTAACACTCTTATCTGACGGACAAACAAACAAAAATTAATCATCATCCCTATTATCAGTTTCGCAGCCTATTGCATTGTTGTATGCACACAAACAATCAATCAATTCATTCCTCTGTATAATATTAGTATATATATTCTTCTAGTGGGATGGTTGTGCAGCAAAACATAAAACGGGAGGAATAGCCAAAGTTTTATAGTTTACTTTAAATTATGGGGAATATTATTATGGGGAATTGTTATAATCTATCTCGTATTATAAGTATTATAATTTAAACAGTGCTCTTTTCCTTCTGTTGTAATTTGAGTTACATATTTATCTATCTTATCTATTAGAAAGGAAAAAAATAGCTAATTTTAAAGGTAACATTTACCTTACTAATACTATTTAGCTATCTTATTTAAATTACAGCTTTTATGGTCGTTATTTCTTTGTACAAAATCAGTTAAAAATTAAGTTATTTTTTAAATAGTTTCAAATAGCTTGCCAGAAGGTTCATGTCGTCTTTTTGAGTGCACTATAAAGATTGATTACTCAGTAGTGGTAGTAGATTTGCACTAAATGTGAGCATTATACCGTTTGGATTTTATAAATTTAGAAAACCTAACGTAGAATCAGTCTTATCTGCGTGCGCGTCAACCTATTTATGATTGAAATAGGAGATGTGAGCCGCGATAAAGTTGTCTGAAGTGACAATGTATATCGAACGCTACGTACACTATTTGTGTCAACCCATATACATTGTCATGGACGGGGAAGCCTTACAACGAGGGTCGTTTAACTGGGCCAAATAGAAATATACGATTTAAGTCTTAAGCGAGGGCGTTGTACGGAAAATAACGTTAATTTATTCGGTTTTAATTTTTAATGTGTTTGTTAATTTTTTAAGACTTCTCTCTCACTCTTTCTGCATATTTGGTTCTCTGCTGGATCATTAATCCTCTTTATACTCTTTCTTTTATGCTTTAGGTATTCTATGCGTACGTTAGGTGAACTTTGACGTCTGTTTTATTTCATTCAACCTACGTTTTAGTTTTATTCAGCGTTTTCAAAGTAAGATATTTGCCTTCATATGTTTTATTTCCACTACCGTACTCCACGGTTGACCTAGAAAAATTTAAAAGGCTTCATTCATGAAATTGAAAATTAAATGACAAAGATATAGACTAACTGTGGAAACCTTTTATTAGCCATCTGTAATTTAATCTTAAGCTATAAGTATAATGTGCTGTCTGTATTCCCGAATATAACATATATAAATAAATAAAACTAAATATATTGTGTGATAGTACCTGTGCGAAGAACATTCATTTAACAAGACGATCAAAGTATATATCTAATTTGATGAACAGAAGTTCATAAAAAAAAAAAACAGGTGGTCTAGATTTCTATATTGAGAAGGTTAATATGTTTCTCGAATAACGTTCCGAAAGTGAATTATCATAGATGTACATATGTCAGGCTCTCGTGTCTTGTACCGAATCCACCTTTCGCACTAGTTACGCAGGGAATCCGACAAAAATAGAACCGCATCGCTTCGTACGCGAATCAGCTGAAGGACAAGCATCGGCAAGTAGACGAATCGCGTAATAGTACATACACGACTAATACTTAGCTTTTATTTTTATCACCTTTATTTTATTTTTATAATTTGCTGTACCTATGTGCAAATTTTTCATTAATTATTTTGTTATTGCGACGAAAAAATTTTACAATTAATTAGCACTTACACTACTTTATCAAACCAACTAATATTAACCGCAATTCACATAATTAGTTACACGTAGATGGGTAGACTAGAAAATGTAATCCCTCTGTCTGGTCGGTCCCTCATGTCTACAGATCGTGCGTAGCATCAGGGTCTAACAATTAACTCTTACCACAATGTAGAATTAGGAAACTTGTACCTAACAATTGTCTCTTACCACAATGTAGAATTAGGAGGAACAAAGAGTCTTTCACGTGATAAATTGATCTGATGAAAGACCTACCGACCTACCAACTGCTCAGCTTTTCCAAAAATTTGTCACCTCTGCGTATTGATTACATATAATAATATATGATATAACAAAATTTATTAAAATCTAATATTCGATGTGTTTAAATGTTGTCTCAAAACAACAGATAGGTACTTCGTATTTTTTTGTTGAAAAAAAACCATTTTAGACCATTACAATGTCGTCGAAGGGTTCTCGACCATGAAGGTTATATAGTGTTACATTTTAATGTAATTAATAGTTTTTTCCTTTTCGCCTGCGTAGTTTATTGCCTATGTCAACCGTTTATGATGTAGTTTCCCGGAGGTGAAGAAGAAGATATTTTAAAATCGCTCCGAATATATATCGCAGCGAGTATTAGATTTTAATAAAAGCATCTCTGCTTTTATAATATTAAATAGCTTTTCCGACGATTTGTTTGACAATGAAAGTCCCGTCAAAATCGGCCCAGCCGTTTCAGAGATTAGCCGGACAAACAGACAAAAAAAGTGTAAAAAATTATATTTTGATATATGTACCGTAAACATACATATGCATTTAGTAAAAAGCGGTTAATTTAATTTAACAATCAGACACTCTAATTTTATTTATTTTTATAACGATAGAAAATTACATTAATACCAGGTAAACAACTACTCTATACTAGTCTATACTATGAATAGAGTAGTTGTTTACCTCTATACTCTGTACTAAATTTCATATTCTTCAAAACGAGAACATGATAGGTTACCATTGCTAATACAGTAATAGAATTGGTATTTGAGAGTTCAGTAAAAACTGCAAATTATTAGAGCCTCTAATCATAAAACTTAAAAAAAGACATTTTCAACTGTCACGTTATAGGCCTCTAGGCTGGCCTCATATATTTTCGCATGACTCATATGTATTCGATTCCAGAATTCTTTTTCCGTATCTGGAGACCCGATTGCGTCAAATCTATGGAAAATACATTGACTGCCGCACACATTCGTTCGGAAGCACCATTCAATAAATCATTAGGTTTCTTCCGAATACACAGCACTCCCATAAATTTCTAAATACGGCCGTACACGTTCGAAAATTTGCAATCAGAACAGCGCCACGGGCTGTGCGTATTGGATGTTTTGTGTTGATTTTAATGTCAACACAAGTGCACATATGTGTAAAGCAGAAGCATTGGAAGAACAAGAGAACACCATAACGTACTGGCAGTATAAAATTCCTAATGCAAAAAGTGCAAAAAAAATAATTCCGAACGTGTTAAACCAATGTAATTCGAACATATGCGGCCAGCCTTATTGATATTACCATTAACCCATTGTCCTAAATATACTTAATAAATAATTTATCGAATTTTAAACAAAAAAAAACACATCAGGTTAGTTTATTTTATACGGATGGAATTTAAAGGATGTTTTTACATTAATTATTATTATGTATTAAGTGATGTGCGCTACTGCGGATATAACGCTACCGGTGTTTGGCAATCGATTCGATGTTCGGGTGAAAGGCAATGTTTATAGCTGGCCGAACATTCAGGTCAGTCCTGGAGGGAATTTTCCAAAATATCATCGGAATTTAACAAATCAGTATATATAGAGGTTAATTATTCAACAGCAATGAAGAGCTGACGTGAATAGTAGTACAACGTATTATCATTTGTCAAAACTTATAAAATTCACTTTAGAATTTAAATTGACTAAATTGAAGCTATTTATTCCGGTAAACTATGTGACGGACCGGTGTTCAAAAACACGCCGTTTACATGATGACGCCTTCTCTGAGGTCTGAGGTTGGATTCCCGATCTTAGTGCTGTGCTTCGTTGCTTCAGATGCTTTATAACTGCTTGTATTACCTAGTTATTTTGAGATTGGAAAATCATCATGTTAGTATAGCAAATATGGCTAAATATATGTATTTTACCTAATTAATATGTGTAATATATTTAATATTACCTACTCATTTAGCGATTTTTATAAATGAACAAATCACATCAATTTCGCCATATGCTTTCCCACAGAAACTCCACTCCTTCAATGGATCTGAGTTATCTTGTTGATTTTATGACTAGAATATATTATCGCATAAAAACAGCGAACTCGACGTTGTCACAGCATAGAGCTCCAATGAAATAAACCCTATCAAAAAAGTAAAAGTAGCAGTATCTGTCGTGGAGTTCGTCGTAGATTTTTTTTACAGAATAGTAGTGCCAAGTGTGCTACACCTTCGACGTGTTCGATGACGTCTAACGTGCGTTCCGATTAATGTGACGTCGTAAAAAGTAAAAAATACCTTTTTTGACATAACAATTATATACTTTATATTAAAAGAAACCGCGATCGTTGTTGTTAAGCAACTTTCGCAAGGGTCGGTCACGGGATGGGTGACCAAAAAATTATTATCTCGAGCTACTTCGTGCTTCGGAAGGCACGTTAAGCCGTTGTTCCCGGCTGCATTTGCAGTCGTTAATACCCTCCAATCCGCATTGGGCCAGCGTGGAGGGTCATGGCCCATCCTCCTTAACCATCCATATGGAAGGCCTGAGCCCCTGCAGTGGGGACGTAAAAGGGCTGATGATGATGATGAAAAGAAACACGATAATGATCATTATTTTTTAATGAAACTAGTGGATATATGCGTACTTACATTATTGCACATCGTTGATGTAAATTCAATTGTTTACGTTAACATAAAATTATTATTAACACACTTTATCATAACAATGCTGTTACACAGTTTAGAATACAGTGTCGAAATGTAGCGAGTCGAATACGCACGGAGGTCAAGTATATATATACATATACATAGCGTCTATCGTATACAAAGTATAGTAAGAATATAGTAGATATCAAAACTCGACGAAATAGGAACAAAAACTTTACTGAGAATTTTATACAGCTTTCAGGGTATGATAGGAGTACAATAATCGATAAATTTTTATTTCGAATATTGTGCGGTAATGTGCCGGCCACGTTTGTGCGGAAACGTGATGTTGTATAGCGTCGTCACGTGACCTGCCCCCCCTTATTCTGTAACTCCGAGGAGGATAACCTGATACAAATACCAACTTTTAGTATGGAGATCAAACATTAAAACATAACAGCTTTTTTTTTATTATGAGGGTATCATATATTTCCTTTTTAATATAGGAATTAATCCATCGATATTTTCTTTCGGATTATTAGTTAAAAAAATAAAAATCCCTTGATCTCTCAATGGCATGATAAGCAAAACACATATAAAGTGACTTCTACGTATTTTCACGCTGTTACTTATGTTACTTCCATGAAATACATAAATTTTCCTAATATTATATTTAGAAACTCATATTTTTATAAAAACACAGACAATAAATATTTGAAAAATATTTGTAAAAACATCAATAATATTAACAATGAAATACGACTTCAATCGATATTACTATATTACGTTAAGTATATTTTGTTTTGAATCCAATGAAAATTTCCATAGGAATATTGCATACAAATAGCCTAAAATATAACACGCAATATATGCAGCTTCTACTAAATATCATTAAAATCCACTCCGAAATACTTTAAATAATTTTTTTATCAAAAAATAAAGTTTAATAAAAAATCACTATTTCCTGTAAATGTTTTAGTTGGATTTCAGTTATTTTCATCGTCGCTATGATAAATAAAACAAAAATTTGTGAAAAAAGTCGTGTTAGTAATTTTGCGTGAAAGAAATGAAGGTTATTTGACTTGATTTTTTTTTATACCTTCCGTAGCTAAAATAAGATGGATTCTTAAATGTAGTCTCATGTAATTGGCTCACAAAATTGATTAAAAATATTCCAGGCTTATATCGAATTATTTCCGTTTTTCACGTATCGGCATCTCGGCATGCGATCGTACAAATAAGTGATTTTGACACATTAGAATTGGTCACTCTTTACGGTGATTACTACTTTAAGCCGTCAGTCAGGTTAGTGAATAGTGTATATTGCGCGATTTGATAATATAATAACATACATATAAGCATATACAAAAATTGTACAATAGGCGTCCTAATTGCTTTCAAACGATTTCTACAAGACAACCTATCTTTGTAAAAATCAGATTATGACTTCGTACAAAGATAACAGTTGCTTAAACGTCAGAAAAAAAAATATTGATAGGCAATAATAATAAAATAAAAGAGAACAGAACAGAAAGGGAAACAATGGTATCTACATACGACTATAATGTCAAAGAAACTTACGACAAACAGTGCGAGAAGACGGAAAAATAGATATAGATAAACAGATCAGGATACCGAAAGATAGAGTTTTAAATATATAGTGTTAAAAGAAAACTTAATTTGTGCCATTCATTATTAGAAAAGAAAACATATAGCATTACCTATTTAGCCGAAGGTAAAAGAGAGTTATGATTTTGGCCTGTATGTCGAATGACCCAAAACTCAATAAAATTGATGAATGTGTGTAAAGGTGCACCAAACAGTTGTTGGCTTGATATGGTATCAATTTTATCTCGACCAAATAAAGGTATGTCAGTTTCAAATCTGCAACGATTGCAAACAAGCCAAATGGAGCCATAGGTGATATATAGTTGAGATTACAAAAGTAAATATTGTCTTTGAGCATCAAGACGTCCAGTAACAGTAAAACAACTTTGTGAGACAGGGTTGAATTATAGTCACAATATGATTGTTTTTAATTTTTCAAATAACTAAAAAAAAAGACCTCCAAAAGTATCAAAATAATTCTTGAAACTAAATTTGAATGCGGGCGAGGATTTTCTGGCCATGCTTTAAACCGCCCGTCAGAAACTTAAGTTTCTTAAATTTATTGTAACCGCTTTCTGTGTATTTTTTACAATTCTTAGCGGCGACGACATTATTAAAATTGTTTAGACGGTACAGATTTGTATTTATTTTGATAAAGTTTAAATGATCCAAATATTTAAGGATATATTTGTACCATTTAAACTTTATCTAAATAAATACAAATCTGTACCGTAAACAAAAAAAAAAACATTAAAATCCGTCTATCCGTCCTTTTCACACACCCATCTAAAATAATTCAGATAAGTTGAAAACGTCCTCCTCTTTTTTAAGTCGGTAAAAAAATCCATATAAATCGATGAACTTTAATTTCAACATTCCCACTATGGTTTCAGTCGATTGGGGAAAATAATATTTTGCATGCACAAGAATTTGCGTTGTACTTTAATATGTTGCAGTTTATTAAAATAAATAGACTTGAGTAGGTCTAATATCTATGTCTATAAATAATGCAATCGTCTATGCAACATATCATAAAGAAACTGGGGCAGGCTATTTGAAACAATTGGAATTGATCGCTCGAGATTCCGCTCGGGCTCTGATACTCATCACAGTGAAGTTATAATCCCGATTCTTCAGCTATGGTATTCCCTTATTAAATTAATGTTTTCTCTTTTCATACTTTTCAGACCGCTATTTTTATAATTTCGTCCAACTTAATGGTTAGGATAGTTTTTATCCCAATTGTAATAATGAGTTATTTCATTTTTAAATTAAGATAAGTAAATTAATGAGGAGTTCGATAGGGCTTCGGCTTGCGCGCTCGATCTGTGATACGGTTGTTAAGCAACTTTTGCAATGGCTGCTTATAAGATGAGTGATCGAAAATTTACTATCTCGAGCTCCTCCGCGCTTCAGAAGGCACGTTAAGCCCTTGGTCTGGGTTGTATCTGCGGTCGGTAATACCCACCAATCCGCACTGGCTCCTCGAGCGGATCGGTGGGTATTAACGACTGCAGTTTAATCTTAATAGTTCGGTTCCATTTAGCCCTATCAAAAACCGCTTTTGTGGATTAAACAAGTCATAAATTTTGTTAATAAAAATTTCAATGTTTAAGTTTGGGTTGTTAAGATCGTTTAATGCGAATTTTTGACTCACCATACAATAAAGTCTACATTTTGTTTTACCTTTAACTTTCGTTTACTCTGCAGGTTTGATCTGGTTCATAGTGCCAGTGTCTATGATAATCTGCAATGATGTAATGGCGTACGTGTTCGGTTTCTTCTTCGGCAAGACTCCGTTAATCAAGCTCAGTCCCAAGAAGACCTGGGAAGGTTTCATCGGGGGAGGCGTCTCTACTGTTGCTTTCGGTTTGGTGGTGAGTACTTATGATATCATATCAATTTACTAATGTCACCCGCTCGGGGTTATCTCTACGAATAAAAAGGGGGACGGATCACCATGCAAATTGATATTTATGATAAAAAATTCTAGCTTATTAACTTCGCCTTCAGAAATGAAACTAACAAATAAAGCATAGTCGCCGAACAGATAGATTTTCGCTACTTTGTGCCTATATATATCTTAAAGTTTAAGTTAACAATACATGACAAATTGTTTACATGCATTTGTGCGAGCGCAATAGCAACATGTTTGCGGACGACTGAAAGAGATATATGTAGTGCCGGGTATTATTTATTTTTCTTTGGTGACTGCTTTAGAAAGATTTTAATCGTAAATATCATAACGACATTTGCCAAAGTCGCTTCTCAGCAATCGCAGAGTGAACGCATGATCAATGCGCTATCTAGTCTATACTTAATTTGACCTTCCACTTACTAAATTATAATATATGAAAATATCAAGACTCATATGAGTTGGTCCTTCGAGCTGGATAAAAGTTAAAGTCTCATTGGATTTTAACGAGTTTCTTTAAAAAATAATTTACTACAAAATTAACAATAAAAAAAAATAATTATAATGATATTGTTTCAGCTGTCCTATATAATGTCTCAATATCCTTACTTGGTGTGCCCAATCGAGTACTCCGAGTCTTTGGGCAAAATGACTATGGACTGTGAACCTTCACCGCTGTTCCGTTTGCACGAATATACACCACCGCAGTTCCTGCAGCCACTTATGAAAGTTGTGAGTTAAATTGGTCGTAGTAGTGTAATCGACTGTTTTTTTTTTTAATACTACAACATATTAATGTGTCATATTCATGGTGTGTCGTCGTTGCTGTCGCGTGTTGTTTCATACATTAGAGTGAAAAGGATATATTTCTGTCGCGACACATAAATTTCTATATTTATGCAGTACGTTAAAATTAATTGATTTGAATATACTTAGTTGCGTTTGTGTTTTCTTATTTAAATCTTTTGAGCATGCTTCAGTGACAGCCTGTATTAATGCTGTGCCAGTAAATATCCTTATTACCAGTGCATATATAAACGTCAGCATTATATGATTTTGATATCTATGCTATTATTTACAGTTCGGAATGGAGAAAGTGAATATCTACCCATTCATGATCCACTCCCTAGCGCTCAGCATATTCAGCTCCGTCATTGGTCCCTTCGGTGGATTCTTCGCATCTGGCTTCAAGAGAGCATTCAAGATTAAGGTTTGCTATTGGTTGATATGTTCTGGAAATTATTATTTACCGTGTGCGTCGTTTTTATTGATGCGCAATTCTATTATATTGTATGTTGCCAACTTCTATGAGATTACTATGAAGTGGAATCGACATTCAGTCAATTTGTAATCGGTGACTAAACATTGTCCTAATGTAACAGTGTCACAAAGACCTCGCATTGTAAATTACCACGCAAAACAACCTCAACTACTTGTATTATGCCATTGTAGTATCTACCTGAAGACTAATATTATTTAACTTTCACCATTGGTTTGTGAGCAAGATATAGCACTAATGATATAGGACTTGAGGTAGATAATACAGTGCCAATATATTAACAGTATAATCCAAAATTCATTGCGTGGCAACCTCCTGTGTATATAATATCTGCGGCTTTGCAAAAAAAAAACGCTAGAATGAAAATTTCGTGTCGTTTAAACAAGGGGAGGAATTATTTAGGTTGTGAAATAAGATTCAAGGTCTTCCTGTAGGATTTCGGTGACGTGATCCCAGGCCACGGGGGTATAATGGACCGGTTCGACTGCCAGTTCCTGATGGCCACCTTCGTGAACGTATACATCACCAGCTTCATCCGCACCGCCACGCCGCAGAAACTGCTGCAACAGGTGAAATAATTATGGAATTAAACGAAAATATTCTCTATTGTAAACAGTTTAAAAGCACTTTTGAAACGTTGCGTTCTCAAGTACAAATACAGGTTTCTGTTATATGTTCAGATATGAACCATTTAAACTTATAAATATGTAAGAAAATATATTTTATTAACACTAATTTGGAAAATATTACGCTTTGAATACTTGAAAAAAGTAGGGAAAACATATTACAAAAATTTGCTAAAATGCATGTCGTTAAATTAGTTGTATAAAATGTAACCACTTTCATTCTATTAACATAAACGCATATATTACGAAAATATTACAAAGATTGCCCAGCCGCCTATACCGTGTGACGTCACTTAGTACCTGGAATTTGTAGAGTGCGTTTTCGGCCGACTAGCAGCAGTTCCACAAACAGTACCGTATCTCCGAAATTATTAATCGCAGACATGCTGTTACTTCTACATTATTTCTCAGTTATTAATGGAATGTCTATTTATAACATAAAAAAAAATCATCAACTAGCCTATTCTGCTATTGTATATCTCAAATGGCGTCTCGGGTACTATCTGAGATCTCATCGTATTACTTGAAGACTCAGCCTCACTATTTACGCTAACATTAGCAAAATAAGAGCTTAGTACATCATTTAACTAACACGAAAAACTATCTTAGGCAATCACTAGCTTACTCTACATTATGAAGTAAAGATATTATAACATCGATTTTCTTATAATTAACTACAACATACTCATTAATGACGAATTTAATAAGCAATGTGTATATTAATTATTGAATATTACTCGAAAGCTGTTTCGTACACCTTAGTTAAAAAAAATAATAGTTATTTGTTTATACTAAGCATGTAGTGTTTGCCTGTAATTGTTTGTTACATACATGCATGTAATGAATTTTTACTTCAGTATGTAGGTTTATTGTGTAATCGAATATTGGTAAACTATTAATAAAAATAAATTAATAAAATATGTACAATGCAAATAAGTGAACAATATCAAATGAATCTTTATACAGCGACCGTTCACGAGCATGATGATTTATCAAGACATTGCTTTCTTCAAAAGTCTTTTAGGAAACTAACTTACGCTTAGCTTACTATTTTTAAGAGGTGGTGCCGGCATTATTATCACTAGCATGCGAGTTCCTAAAGTATAACTGCTATATTTTTATTACGATGGCAAAATATAGTATGATACAACAAATTTTTATCAATTTTTATTTTCTTAAAAGATAGTAGTTTATGCAACTGTCATATAAGATGGGTTATTAAAACACGAGAATCTGTTTATCTGAAAAAAATGGTGCACGCATGAATTACTTCCTTCTAACCCACCTACTTTGTTTAATATCAATTTTTCCTATGAGTAAAGATAAAGTAGTGTATGCATATAACTTAGGTATTAAAACACTCGAGTCAACCTATTATTGCATTCTGCTTCGCCTCATGCGATAAACAGACTCGTGTTTTAATACCCCTTCTTATATGACAGTTGCATAAACTACTATTATGTATATGCGCATATAAAGTGCGTATGTATAGATTAAAATCGTCTTTGAATTCGTAATTCGAATTTTCGATTTGAGTGTAGACAAAAACCTTTTTTCTTTTCAGGTATACAACTTAAAACCGGAACAACAACTTCAACTGTTCTACGCTCTCAAGGAATCGCTTGAACACAGGAATATACTCAACCTGGTACCGTAAATGGGTAAACGGAAACGAGGTAACTGAATAGATTCAATAAAATAATAATAATTAAAGATAAAACAATTATTATTTATTACATAAAAAAATATTGTAAGTGCCAGTCACAATTGAACGTCTCTGCTAATGTAAAAGAGAAAAGTAATTTGAAATTATAAATAGAAATATAATAAGTACCTTTTATACCTACTAGTTGATAAAACAAAATACTCGTATTCTTTTAGAAAATAAATAAAATTCATACAAAAATCGACGTTCAATTGTGACAATAAGGTCTAACATATCTCGTGTACCTTGAAAAATAAAATAAAAATCTAGTCTATAATTTGTGGAATCATTTATTTAGATGTTGACATTGAATATTGGACTTTATTTCTATAAGTAAAACGCTCTTTGTGACTAAATACGTTCTGTAGCGACAATAGAACATCGTCGAAATGAATGATTTTTACAAAATGTTATGATGGTATATTATTAATTATTCATCTCTTAGATATTAAAAAAAAATACAAAAATATTAAATTTATATAATAAATAGATGAAGAAATTAATATTACCTATTATTATAGAGTTAACGTAGATTATAATAGTTAATTATTTTAATTAAATTCTGGTGGCAGGAATGGTATGTAACGGCTCTTGATGGATTATTTTTTCCAATTTCTTTTAGGAATTTATTTACTATGCCTAATGTTTTTTTTCTTCGTCTTGTCTATAAATGTATTTGTTGCTATATAATTAATTCTCGAATATCTGAAAATCAAACTTCGGTTAGGGTGAAGTGCTTCTAAATCTTTATTTCTCGAATAGACTAAATTCTTGCGTGAACGCATTATATTGTATTGTGATTAAACTTTAGAATGTTTTTTATTTACTGAAAACATTAAGCATTTTATATTTAAGTTCGCTTCTAAATTTTAGAATCTGTGAAGTCTAGTTCTATCAAAATTAAAGTCTATGTAGAATGCATTAACTTTGTAAATTCAAGTTATGAAAGGTACTGACCTCAGAACTGATCTTAGAGTTGATTTTACTATTACACAATACTTGACAGTGTAAAATCCTTTCAAATAAATCTCCGGGACTGTATAATTTTGTAACCGAATGCACAAGCAACAGTTGAAGTGAGATGATGCTATACAACGTGTATAGCGGTGTCTCGCTCCCGTAATAGCGAGTGCATCTTTCAATAATTAAGGATAAATATAAAAAAAAAACTACAGCTTGAGGCCAAATGAAATGAAGTAGAATGTTAGCATAATATCTTAATGTGGGTTTGGTAGCATAGTAGAGTAGATGAAATAAATATATGTGTCTCATTTCCGCTTTACGGGTAAGTGAATGAGTGAACGAGACGTGTTAATTTTGAAAATGGCCGTAATTACGTTGTCTTACAAAATCGTTTCCGTATTCCGATATTTTTTTGCATTTTTGCGAATTAGACTGAATATTGAAGACGACTGTGTAATGTGCTAAATATATTTATAAAAAAAAACTTCCTAAGTGTTAAAAATAAACAGAATAATGGCGGGATGACGATTATGATTGGATTCACAGAAACGAGCTGTGAAAATTTATTTAATCGTATTAATAAACTTCCGAATTTGTTTTGCTGAAATTTCTGTTTATAATTACGCATAATCGAAATATCGACTACGAATAAGGCGTTAACTTTTTGACATGATTTAACTTGGAGCTGCTAAAACCATACCTAATTATGTTATTAATAATATATCCATCACGAATATTTTAATCGTCTCGTTATAATTCAGTAATGAAATGAGACTAACTTGAAAGATCTAAATTTCTTTTTTTTTTGATAATATAAAACAGTCATATAAAGTTTTTTTTTATAATAAAAATCGCAGTAATACTCAAAATGCACGTATCTGCATTCATTCATGTTTGTTAATTTGATTTTCCGTTAAATTAAACTATGTTGGCGGTATTGGCGGTTTAAACAGCTCCAAGTCATATCTTCTCAAAATGTTTTGGGAAGTTAAATACTGTTACGGTCAAAGAGTTTTTTTTTTTTTTTCTGGAGCAGATATAGTATTATTATAGTTGATTCGCCTTTAACTTAGTATTTGTTAAGTTTGGTGATGATTTTTGTGATTTTATATTATGTTGTGTCTCAAACTTCTTTTTTTATCGCTTATTTAGATTTGATTCGCTAGTTTCTAGTTTGTTTATAAGGTTTAGTTTTTTAATTGATATTGTTTATGTCTAGATACACAGAATTCAAAATTTATTTATGACGAAGGATTTTATAGATCATTTTTGCTTATCGCAATGAGCTTTCATAACGCTTGCATTTAATGACTGGAAAAAGCTTAATTTTTCTAAGGTAGATCATAACAGCAAAACATTGTAAAAGATAGCATTAGAAGTTAATAGATGCAAATTATTGGTACTTTGCAATTTTGATACACGTTTTAAAATACATAACACTCTTATGTAATAAAATGGAGCTGAACAAAAATACACTTTAAATGAAATGGATATAAGATTGAAATGCCATCTTTAAAGATTACTACGATTAATCCATTTTTTAAATCAATCCCATTGTCATCGGTATCAATGAATAATAAAATCAAGTCATTATTGTTGTATGTAATGTACCATTTATGTTTATTTATTCATATACACACATCATTATGTCAGGTTACCACAATATGTCAAGATTTCGCAGTTGATTTTCAACTCTACCCTTAATGGTTTAAGGTTTAAAATCAAATGAAGAAAATTGAAAAAATAATGTATAACCTGACTGTACATTATATTTGTCTATTCTATTTTTAAACATGTTATTATAATTATCCTGTATTTCTGTGGTTCTGATATAATTGTAAACGAATTCTAAGATACCGTAATTATTAACGTTAAAGAAGAATGCCCTAAATCTTGATCGCTTTCGATGTAACTGTGTTTCGAAAAAACAAAGTTCAATATTTATGTTTTTTTAATAAATTTCAATTCTACATCTATGAAATATTATTGTACAGGGAAATCCATAAATTACGTTATACATATTTCAAGATATTTGGAGCGCCAGGTACATTTTCTGGTAAATAAATATTTTTTTTTAGTTTGAAATCTTTGAACGGCGCGTAATATTAACTGGTGGGTCAACATGCCCTTGTGAAATGGGCATTCTCCTTTACATTTTTTTCAGACGTAGTTTTTAGCAAACACCACTATTGTGACTTTAAATTATATACAGATACACTTCTTGTTATAAATTAAAACTTGTTAATACATAATTTTGTAAAGCTACTGTGTTTAAACAACTAAAAAAAGTATTTCAATTTATTTACTACTAAAGGGAAATAATATCAACGAATCTAATGTTATGATTTTACTCAGTGAAGTTTTATTAAATCATTGTTGGCATTATGCAGTTTTGTTTAGTACAATCTTTTATCCATTTTCAACCTTAAACCATTGAATATTGAGTTCTAAAATGACTGCAGAATTGTGTTTAAACGCAGATAAGCAGTCCTATCATGTGTTGCCAACTATACTAAAATAAGTATAATTTGTTATATAAAACCGATGAAGAAATAAACACGTGAAAATAATATATTTGAGTTGCCAGAAACAGTCTAGTATTTTTTCCTATTTAACTGTTGTTACGTAGACTATGTCTTATATGTATCTAGTACTTGTATATGTATCTAACATATGATGGTTATACGAACTTTTAGGAATCCATAAAATTAAACTTCTTAAAGGACCAAGTAGGAACTGCTTAATAGAATATTCTTATTATTTTGAAGCATCTTTATATAGTTCACATTACGTTTTTGATTCAAAATTAATTCGATTTTTTCAGTAGTTATTTTTTTATATATAAAATTTTCACAAATGTATGTTTTGAACTTAAAGGCGTATAGCCTTCAATTCTTTCAAATTTCAAAATTTTCGGACGAAAAAATTAGTAATTATATTAAATAATAACTGATTAATTTCTATCAAGCACGTTAATGTGTGCGCACCGCGCTATTGTCTGATAATGACTGACCACTGTCACAAGATGGCCGCCTTTCAGTGCTCGATGTTCGTTTAGAAACGAAACTAAATTAAATCCATAGTTAAGTAGACTACTAGTTTACATGATAGATATTAGTGCAAAACAAACGCTCAACGCATATGCGGATATGGACATTTATATTGAGAGCCAAAAAGATTCAAATCGTGACTTGCCATCTTATTATAAAAACAAAACACGATTGTTTTTATTTTTAATTTAAAAACGTAATAAAAAGAATTAAAAGCTAACTATTCATTTCTTAATAAACATGTGGTCTGACAGTATGAAATATCCTATTATGCAGGTCTTAAATGTTTATGAATCATGTTGTTACTATAAATTTTATTTGCTGTTACCTTTGAACATTGAATTTATACCGCTCGGTATTCATCCGATATATTTATTATACGCTTAACTACCATACAAAACGGGAATATGTACAAAGTATTTGTAAAGTTGTGATAAACTTCTATCTTATTTGTTATTACACCCATCGTTTATTTATTAATAAGAACTGCTCATAATTAGGCCACCATCATTTTTATTCCTAAAACGAAACGACGCTTATTTTCTTGTTATTTATGAAAAAAATATATTTGATCAATTTTGAATACTGAAAAATATTTTTAATGAAAAACGCTTAAAAACCCACTTTGGCACTCGCCCGGATTGCAAAGTGGTTTTTTTTTAAGCATTTTCATTAAGGATAATATATTTCTTATTTTGTTTATTGAAAATACGAGACAATTATACATTTATATATCCGAACGAGTCGGGCATCTTGTATTGGAAAAACCGCGCGAAATATTTTTGTTTGAAAAACACCCAGTTGTAGAAACGCCCATTAAGGTGTTGTGATGACTTTGAGCTTTATGAAATCTCAATTTGTGAATTTATTTAATGTCGCTTTGCGTTTGCGCAACTAATTGTCAGTTGTACAAATGTCCATTAAGGTTTAATGACACCTATAAGCTCTAAAGAATGTCAAATTTGTATGGGTAATGTCACTTTTAAACTAATGAAAAATTTAATGGGCGTTCGTGCAACTGGCTCTAAGTGTAACTAAGCGATTTTATGAAATATCGTTTTGTGCTATAAATGTTGACAGATGAAAAAATTGTAACGAAAGGTATTCAAGTTAAACATTTCCAGAGACAATTTTAGTGTAACGTTATAAATTGATAAATTTATTTGATTATAACGTTATTAACGTTAAGTTTGCGGGAAGGGTATTAGCTGGTGTGTCGTATTATTCGGTGTACCTAATTAATTAATATATGTACGTATTGTAGTTGTATATGTTTAAATTATTTATTGATTATGTGACTTGTAATGAGGTAAATAAATGGAATCCTTGTGTAACTGTTCTTTTACTAACCGCGAATCCTCCGTTATGAGTATGCACATAACCTTTATTGAGTTGTGACGTCACATTTTCTTTTGATTGCCTGTATTGAGAAAAACTACTTTCAAATCATGACGACTGCGTCACAAATTTTTGCACCCTTTTTGCAAGAACGCAGTATCTTGAGCGGGAGAGAAACGCACTATCTCACTTGGCTTGGCACTGTAAATGTTTGTACTATGAAAATTCCTGATATATTAATACAATAAATCTTCATATTAAAATATGTTTTCTCATG